AAAATCTGTGAAAAAACACATTTTTCACAGATTGGAAATCTGTGGTTCCAATTTTTTTAAACTTTAAAGCTCATTCTAACCCCTCCAACTATTGTCCGATCAGTCTTCTTTCTATTATTAGTCTTGGAGTCTTTGATTAATAAGTTTCTACCATCATATCACAAGTCAAATAACTTACTGCCAGACAATCAATACAGTTTTCGATTTTCTCTCTTTACGGCTGATATGCTAATGCTGTGACTGAAAGTATTTATCGTGCATTATATAGTATATCTAGGAAAGTTTTTTGAGATTATCAAATCTTTTTTTTCTAATTGATTTATCAAAGACATCCTCGAAAGCCAATACTGTTCTTCATTTCCAGTAATTTCTGGGGTACCTCAAGGATTTATCCTTGGTATTGTATTGTTTCTTATCTATATAAATGATCTTTCAGACAACCTTACATCTAAAGTGGCTCTTTTTGCTGATGACTCAACTTTATACTCCTGTCTTGATAAAAGTCTTCTCTTTTTGATGGCTTAGAATAGGCAGCTCTTGAATCTGACTTTTTTCTGTAACAGATTGGGGCTTGCAGTGATTTGTAAATTTTAACTCCAACAAAACTCAGTTATTTACTACCAATAACTATCGCAATACTGTCAACATTCCTATATTGATGAATGACAACCCTCTCACTGAGTCCTCCTCTTTACAACTTCTTGGGTTATCATTTACTACTGACCTTTTATGGACACTATATATACAAATAGTAAACGACCAGGGTTAGTATTTGATTAGGGCTGAGTTTAATAAAATATAGCCGGGGTCAGGGCCGGGGCCAGGTTTGTGACCGGGGCTGCATAAACATTTATACATCCTAAAGTACATTTTTTTCTTCAAAATTTATGTTTGATTTTGTATATATGCGTTTATAAACATCGTTATGATCAACATGATCATGATCATCATTATCATGTTGATCATTGTCATCATAATTGTTATCATTATTATTATTACAATCATCATCATCATCACCATTATCATTATCATTATCGCCATTATCATCATCATTATCATCATCATCTGCTGATAATAATGACATCGTCAAGCTTTAGCCTTCCTCTTTCATGCTGTTTCTCTAATCATAGTCAATGCTCAAACGAGCTATCATCTCTATTACAATAAACCAAAACTCATTCTTGCTTGGATTCTTATTCAACAAGTTGTATCCTTTGATTGTATCTGTCCCTATTTATTAAATACTAGCATAAATTTATGCCAGAATTTTATAAATAGTAAATGTAAGTATAAAATTGTAATATATAAAGAATTATAAAAATAAGAATAAAACTTTTATTTTACTTGATTCGCTTTTTTTATGTTTTTTACCTTAAAGAGCAGTTTGATTTTGCTTTTTTACCCAAAAGCAGTTTAATTTTGCCTTAACTACTAGTCAGTTCAAAATATTTGTATTATCACTTCCCTTAAGACTTCTGAATATAGACATTTCCTCAAAAGCATGTACCCTAATATATATATATATATATATATATATATATATATATATATATATATATATATATATATATATATATATATATATATATATATATATATATATATATATATATATATATGTATATATATATATATATAACGTCTGTTCACAAAAAATCCGGAATGAAAAATTGTTCTTAATTGAATACAAAATTAATCAATTTTTGACAAAAATTTTAACTAAAATAAGAGACTGGACATCTTTAACTATTTTATAACCGAAAGTGGTCCTAAATCAGCAGCTTTTCGAACTTTAGTTTTGACTGAATCCACTAGGTTGAAAAAGTAGTCTGGATCGAACTCTTTCAACTTTAATCGAATTCTATTCTTAAGGTGGTCAAGATTTTTCGCAGTAAATCCATTTTCATAAACTTTTGCTTTTAAATGTGCGCAAAAATTTTCAATTAGCTTTAACTGCGGTACATTTGGAGGGTTATCTTTAGCGTCAACGAAGTTAATACCTAAAGTGTTGTAAGTTTCTAATGTGTGTTTTGCATAATGACATCTCGCTCCATCAGGCCAAAATAAAATTTTCATGTTTTGATGCTTGGAATTTATAAATGGATGAAGTCTTTTTGTAATACATTCTTTAGAATAAGTTTTTGCATCCAGTGCACAGTTTTTTACAGCAAAATAAGGCGATGAATGACCGAAACGACTGATTGCAATCCAAACGAGAACTTTCTCGTCAAACTTTTTTTTGAAGTTGAATTTAATGTTAGGATCAGTTTGAGAACTATCCTTTGTATAGTAGCCAGAGTTTTGTGAACAATTTGCACCATTTACACAGAAATAAGATTCATCATTCATGATGATTTCAAACTCATTTGATGGCTTGAAAAAAAGTTTTTCTTTTGTTTAATTTCTTGCTTTTCTGTTGTTTTTGGTGCATTTTTTGTTTTGGTATACTTCAGTCCATGCATACTTAATAATCTATTTACATATGAAACGCTTATCTTATATTTTAGTGCCAATTTTCTTTGCGAAATCCCGATTCTCTCTTCTGCTCTTGTAATCATTGACACACATCTTTTCTGGTGTGATTTTAAAAGGTTTTCTGCCGCAACCAATTTTTCTTTTCATTGGCAAATTATTTTCAGACCTTTTAATTATGTCATAAATTGTAGATTTAGCGATTCCCATTTTCTTAAAATGATCCACTGTAAATTTCTTTCCACTGTTTATGTTTTGTTTATAAAAATTTCCAATCACATTTCTAACATCGTTCTCTTTTAGATGCTCCATGTTTATTTAAATTAATTATTTAAACTCAATTTTGCCACAAAATGAAACTTTTGTTGTTGACCGATTAAATTTAAAAATTTCGAATCGAAAATTCGAAATTTAGAACAATTTGTGTACATTTGAAATCTGTCCGGATTTTTTGTGAACAGACATATATATATATATATATATATATATATATATATATATATATATATATATATATATATATATATATATATATATATATATATATATATATATATATATATATATATATATATATATATTATATATATATATTAAATCACTTGTACAAGAGTTAGATTAATTTAATATACATCAATAAATATGAGTAATACTAATTTTACAAAATTTTCACTAGCATTTTTAGCTTTAGTTACAAACAATAAAATATATTTAATTTATAAATAAACTTTCTAAAGTTTGCTTTAAAGGAGATTCTTTTTGGTTACTTAAGTATAAAAAATATGGCGTCCAGAATTATGTTTTACTGAACATTGTCTAAATTCATACCTCCGTTTTTAGGTCTGCAATATTATATCAAATTTCAATTGATTCTCAAACTTTTTTTTTTTGATTTCTATTAAAAAAAAATTTCTATTATTAAGGTTCTATTTTCAACATTTTTAACTCCTCCCATTTTATATTGTATGAACATTTGTTTTTATGATGCCCGATTGCTGGTTGGTCCCATTTTTCTACTAATACATATTTTTCATTCTTGTCTCTATTTATTCTCTATCATTTTTATTTCACAATGTATTTTTGTTTACATTAGCATTCTATTAAGTATATACCAGGATATCTATTTGATAGTAGTTTAGTTTTGTTGCGTGAGGTAAGCTAAGATTTAAGATTTAAAAAATATCTTGTTACCTGCTTTCCTAAAGATTTTTTGAAGTTTTGGTAATAATATTGGGATCCACAAAAGTGATTTAGTTGGCATGGTTGCTTCATTGTTAGTGAAACTGTTTGATTGTATGAGATATTATCTTAAGCCAATCAGAAAATAGTTTGTTTTATTGTGTATGTAAGAAAATTTTGTTTGTTTATGTACATAAATTAGGACTTAACTAAAACAAACAGGCATAAAATATGTTTAGTAATAAACAGTAATAAAATTTAGTTTCTAAAGTTGAAAAGATTTTCAATGTTTTTATATTCGATAATATTTTATTCACAAAGAACAATAAAAATAAACTTATATCAAATCGTATATTAAAATGGAAAGAAATAAAATAAAAATTGTTATAATGTAATTAATCAAGTTTCACAAAGATATTAAAATGTACTAGAATAGAATTGAAAAAATGTGATAAATTAAGATGTTTTTCGAGAAAATGTTATGATGTGAAAGAAATATCAGAATAAAATCATTGGTCACAGTTATTTTTTTTTAATATATATTTTTCTTGTTTGTAGAAAAAAGTTTATGCAAATTTATCTTATTATATTTTCCCCAGAATAAAAACAGAACAAAATGAAACAAACAAAAGCTTAAACAGAACAAACTAAAATTGAAACTGGAAAAACTTTAAGTGTAAAAATTATATCATATTACTTAAAAAATCCTTATTGTTTATACTATTACTTAAAATATCCTTTTGTCCATTGAACAATAAATGCTTTTTTAATAACAAGCCATCATAAGCTATAATAAATCTGAAAATAAAGACAGTATAAATTGACATAAGTAAAACTTTTAAATTATGTTATGCAAACTATTTTAATTATTTACCGCCAATAACTATAAAAACAATGCTGAAAATAACTAAAATTAAATTAAATTACTATTACATCAAAATCACTTTTTTCTATGACCTTGCTTATTAAAACAAAGTAGTATTTGACTAATAATAATTAAATTCATTCTTTATGCAGTCATTTAGCCAAAACCTGACTTGACTGTTTTCTTAATTGTTAATTTAATATCAGTTTGTTTGATATCAATATCAATTGCTTATTTACCTGCCATATATTTTGTTGCAAATTTTGTTTAGTTTTATTGGGCAACAGATTTATCAATATTGCTTAAAAATTTTTGTGCAGTTGTAAATTTTAATATCTTTCAAAGTGCTCATACTCATTTTAAGTGTGTGTAGGTTTGTGCTTGTGCACTATTCACGTCTAATGTTACTTTCTACATCTTATTATAATTATATGTAAAAGAGAAAAATATTAGTATCAATTTAGTATTTTTTTTATTAATTTAGACCTGAATGGGCTGCAGATGAATCTAGTGAAGATGAAAGTGACGATGAAGGGTTGCAGGATAATGAGCAAGGCCAGCACTCTCCACAGCAGGTGTTAAACTTATATATATTTAAACAAGTTTATACAGAGATTTAACATGGATGAAATGCCACTAAGCATTCAGCAATGTCGACCTAACTGCCGCCTATAAGTGTTTAAGTTCGGCAAAAAATTACCGACCTCGTTTCTATGTTTTATGGTAACCCCTTTTTGTCAATTTTTTTTGCTGACATGATGCCGACATATAACAGTAAGAGGTCAGCGATAAGTTGCCAACCTTATTTTTTCCTAATTGCGAGGGTTGAATAGTCATCTACTGGGGCTTCATTGATCGAGAGTTTGGGTTTGGGCATTTTTTTTAGGGATGAGAGTTTTTTATGTTGGGGCATAAGTCAGTGTTTTAATGATTAAGTTCTAAATCTGCAATAGGAGATAAATGCTTTTGTATTTAATAATATATACAAATCTTTTATTTTCAAAGTTATGCATTGATATTATTTTGTTTCCTAGCTGCATGCAGATGATATTGAAGAAGATATTGAAGAAATAAGGTTGGTTATTACTACTTAATTTCAAGTTAATGTAATAACTATTTATAATTAAATAAATACATTTACAATCGGGAGCTAGAGCTTGAGTTATCTGGAGCTGGTGTTTTTACATAGAGCTGAGCCAGAGCTGAAATATTTGGAGCTGGCTCCAGAGCCGGCTCCAAGCTCCTCTCTTTGATTATTTGGAAGATTAAAGTATGACTATTTTTTGTTAAAGGGATTCCTATTATATATATATATATATATATATATATATATATATATATATATATATATATAATATATATATATATATATATATATATTTAATTACACTGTAATTGATAATGTCATTTAAAGTTTTAAATATTTCTAAATAAAGCACTTGAATATTATATGTATAGATTGAGTATTAAATATTTGATGCTCACCCTGAGGCTTTTAGAAATTTAATATTTTATAAATTATACTTGAGCTGATGTATCTAAAGTTGTTTTTGTACACATTCAAAAAAGCCCAATCATTTTTTTTTAAATTAATTTTGATCAAATTATTTTTTATAATTTGTCGTGTAGTTTATGTTGCTGCATACTTTATTTGCTAAAATAAAATATGCAGCAACAACTTTAAATGCTATGATACTTTAAAAGTTACTTGAAAACATCAGAGACAATCGCACTTTTGAATAAGACGATAACAATTTTCTAGATGAAGCTATATAGGATGAGGAACATAAGGAGCATTTATGACAGGATACAAACAAGAAAGAAAGCGCAGCAGTTTCAGAAAAAAATCTAACCTTAGTTCTCTAAGAAGGATGAAAAATGTAAACATACTAAGATTAAGGTTTAATGCTGCATTGTTCACACTTTCCAGCTAGTATTGTGGTGCTTTAAAAGAAACATACACTACCCAACTTTTGGAAAGGTTCGGTATGTTATGAGGAAACTAGAAAATTCATAATATATTTCTAGCTACAGTTTATGTTGATGTTAGTTGTAGAATATTAATAGAAGAGAATCTGATATATATGAGTAAAACAAGCCTTAAAAACAAAAACAGAAATTAACTTATAAAAGAGATGCTAAAAGTATAATAGTAAGTTAAGAAATAAGAAAAACAGCTGAATCATATACAGCACTTTATTCAGTTTTAGGTAAATCTAATGAAGAACAAGCTTGATAAAGAGCTTGATAAAAAAAAAATCAAAAAGTTTGACCAAAATTATTTTTTTAAATAAAAATTCTTTTAATACAATTTTTATGAACGACTGCCAAGAAAAAAAAACATTTATAAGTAAAATCAGCTTTTAAGGGAATTGAGGAATATCCAAAAAGGATACAGAGGTGTGCAGAGTAATCACTTCTATGGCTTTTTCATAAGCAAGTGTAGAAAGGCTATTTTCTGCACTTGAGTTTATATCAGGCAATTTTGATATAACCAACAAAACCTGATATTTTATAAAATATTTTCTTTTAATTTATTTCTTCTGGAGCTGCTCCGGATCCCTAGCTGGAGCTAGAGCTAAAAATCTTAATGGACCCAATTATTTGACCTCGGCTCTGAAGCCAAATTTTTTCACCCTATTGTTAACTATATTTAGAAAAAAAAATTTGGCTCTGAAGCCAAATTTTTTCACCCTATTGTTTACTATATTTAAAGCATCATATTGTGAAGGAGTTCATATGGGTTCAACTACACTGTTGTAATTTTTTAGCAGTACTTTTAGACCTATTACTTTTGGATAACCCAAACTTTTTTTTAAACTGTTTTGACTTAACAAATCTTTTGAACTGTTTTGACTTATTAATTAAATGTTTTTGACAAATAATACTGAGAGATTCCTAATCTAATGTTCCAGTAATTAACCATTGGATACAATTCCTTTATTTTCTGGTTTCCAAAATTTTTATATGAGGTTACAAGCCAAATATAAGAACATTTTAATGCAGCATAGCCTGACCAAAAGAAAAATGCCTAATGTTAATTGCTAGTTTGAAAGCCTCACTTTCAAGATAAAGTAACTAAAGTTTGTTTCAAGTTCTTATAGTTGTTTACAAACTCAACAATTGCCAAGGTCTTCAGTTTTTTTGCACCTGAGTCATAAAAGGCCTAGAATCACTGGCATTTAGAATATTTTATTAGTTTCTATCGCCCATTTTACATATTCTTTTAGAAACATTCTGCCTTCATTAATGCTTGCTTTGATCATATACTTATATAGTGGAAGATCACAATGTTGTTAAAGTAGATAAAATTGATTTGCAACTTTTCCATTTTGAAAAAAATTCTTTGTTAGGTTGTCTCAAAGAAAGTCTTTAAGTAAATTGAAATCTAATTTTTTTTTTTTTAGTGCAAAAACCTATTTACATACAGTGAGCTTCTGGGTGGTAAAAAATACTGTCATGCTCAAGATCTTTCTTGTTAAACCTTTTGATAACGTTAATAGCTTTTAATAACTTTTATCTGCTACTGAAGTTCTAAGTTTGATGTTAACTTAAATCTAATAAAATAAATAATTTAAATCTAAAAAAGAATCATAACAAATCTAAAAGAAGTATTTTATAATTGTTATTTTATTTACTGTACTATATAAGTGTTTACCAAGGAAAAAACTTTAACATAAAATTTTCAAGATAACTATACAAATATTTTTTTTAATGAAATTTCAAAAAACAATTTATCTTTAAAATTTGCTGTGGAAAAATGAACAAAATATCAATAACCTCAGAGTTAGTAATTTTTAATATTTTTTTTCATCCTATTGGTAATGCCATGAATATTTTTGAACAAACAAAAATGCAAGATACTTTGCATAGCATAATACACAAATTAAATATGTATGTTTTTTTATTATTATTTAATTTTTTGTTCAAATTTTATTTATTTATATTTATTATTTCTTTAGTTTATCAGATTATAAATCTAAATAATTGCTTTATAAAGATATAATTATGATTATTTATAAATAATATATAAATATATTATTATTATATGCTTATAATACAAACATTAATTATAATATATATGAGCATTTTATAGTATATAGTGTTAATATATATATGATAATAGTATACAAATTTAATTTTGACATTTTTAAAGGACTTTATTTCTAAGTTATTAAATAACATTTTTCTTTTCTGGATAATCAAATAATTATATTTATATTTATAATTAAAAAATATATTATTATAATTATAAATAATTATAATTTTTTTTTTTTGTGGATAATCAAATAATTTTATTTTTGTTTTAATGACTATTTAGAGATGATCATGGTCGACGTCGTGTTTATGAGCCACGAATTGTGACTCAGCATGATGAAGAAGAAGAAGAAAGAAAGGTTTTTATTGTTTATATCATTTTTAAGATATACATTTTTTTAATTTTGATATGAGTTTGATAAAAATATTTTATAAATAGTATTTATTTTTTAAATCTATATTTGTTGTGTTATATGTTATTTGTATTTGAGTTTATGATGCTTTATTTTTTTAATTTTAGCATTCTAAGAGAAGTGAAGAAAGTAGGTTAGTATTTTTATGTATGAAAATATGAATTCTTATTGTATATAAATAATTATATATAAATAATATATAAATAATGTAATAATATAGTATATATATTTATCAAAAAAGTTTCCTCTGTTTAAAGAAAACCTTAAGAAAAAGTGCCAAAGAATATTAAGCTGTAACCTTTTTCAGCTTTTTTCTTAATTTTTAACTTTATCAACATTTTAGAATTTACTTTATCTATTTTCAAATTTTATATATTAGTGTTCAAAAATAGAAAGAAAATAGTCAAGGGTCCAAACTTAAATATTGGAAAACAGTCTATTTTGCAAGAGAAAAGAAAAAGTGTAAAAGAATACTGGGACTGAAGTTTGTTGTGATTTGTTGTAAGATCTTGATTTTTTATGCAAATCTAGACATTTAGGTGACATTGACTTAGGTAACATTCCTGTCACAGTCTTGCAAAAGTGTTTTCTAGAACTCTTTCAACTCTCTCTCTAACCTATTTAGTGGTGTAGTGGTAGAGTATTCTCTTTATAAGCAAGAAGTTCTGAGTTTGATCCCCAACACGTCCCTGATAGTACCATGCCCAACTTGTTCTTGGCATAGGTTCTGTGTTTCAGAGTTAAAGAGTTGAAAGAAGGTTGTAACCACAATAAAGAAAAAACTTCCTCTACTGCAGTGGCCTCCTCCGTCAATAAACAGCATTAAAAAAATCTCTTAAAACTATTGCAGATTAACATACAGCTTTTAAGTATTGTCAGTTTATTATTAGCAAGGTCTTTGAGTTTTTTGGAAATAAATTTTTAATATTTTATCTAAAATCTAATAATTTTTCTCTGAAAGTTGATATTTTTATCTTTTTCCTTTATTGTTGGTTTATTTACTGGAATAACAAAAAGTTCCTGTCATGAATAAGATAGGGTCAGGTATTTAGGGATTACTCTTGACATATCAAAGTCATTTGATAAAGCAGAATTTAAGTCTTCTCCATATTCTCTTTCTATATGGTGTATCTCAGTGTGGCCAGCCATCTATCTCAGTGTGGCCAGCCATCTGGAAAAGTTCTTTTTTATCAATGTTTTGAAATTGCAGTATTAGAGTTATCGTCATTTTTATCATTTTTATTTTTATTATTTTTCTTTATTTGCATGACATCATTTATCTTCAAGTAACCTCTGGTGTATGACAAGGTTGTACCCTTGATCCCAATTGACATCATTTACCTTCAAGTAACTTCTGGTGTTTGACAAGGTTGTACCCTTGATTCCAATTGGTTCAAATTATTTTTTTTATCTATATTAATGATTTTCTTTACAATCTTATCTCTAATGTGGCTCTATTTGCTTTTGATACAACCATAAATATCTTGATAAAACATTTTACCTTTTTAAATGCTTACAACAAGCAGTTGATTTTTGTGTTGTTTTTTTTTTAATGAGTTTTGCAGTTGCAGGTGATTATAAACTAATCAGTTGTTTACTGATAATCATTACAGTTTATATATACTATATTATATATTTATATTTCTATATTGATGAATAGAAACACTCTTGCCATTCATCAATATAGAAATAAATCAATCATAGCAAGATCAAAACAATAATATTTTTGATCTTATTGTGATTATATAAACATTTTTAATATTATTTGATTGTACTTTGCATTTATTTGTCATTTGATTCATTTTTATTGCTGCAGTTATCTAAATTTTTTTTTTAAAACAACTATTTTTAAAAATTCTGGAGAGTGATCTGATTCATCTAACTACCGTCCCATTAGTCTTCTTCCTATCATAAGCAAGGTTTTTGAATCTTTAATTAACAAACACTTAATCTCTCATCTTGAATCTAATAACTTACTTTCTGATCATCAATATGAATTTCGATCTTCTCGTTCTACGGTTGATTTGCTAACAGTAATAACCGAAAGATTTTATTATGCATTAGATTAAGGTGGAGATGTTAAGGCCATCGCTCTTGACATTTCTAAAGCGTTCGATAAAGTTTGGCATGCTGGTCTTCTCCATAAGCTTTCTTTTTACGGTGTATTTGGAAACATCTTTAAGATTATTGAATCCTTCCTTTCCAATCGTAGTATAAAAGTTGTCCTTGATGGACAGCACTCTTCTTCTTATTCTGTAACCTCAGGGGTTCCTCAAGGTTCAATCTTTGGCCCTATACTTCTTTTAATTTACATTAACGATCTTCCAGATATTCTCACATCTAAGGTGGCATTGTTCGCTGATGATACTACCATTTATTCTTGTCACGATAAGAAGCCAACTCCCTCTGATTGCTTGCAGGGGGCATTTGAGCTTGAAAAGGATCTCACTTCTGCTACCGCATGGGGCTCACAGTGGCTGGTGAACTTTAATTCAAATAAAACTCAATTTATTTCAGCCAATCATTATCACAATAATTTAGACCTTCCTATATTTATGAACGGTAATGTACTCGATGAGTCTCCTACCCTTCATCTTCTAGGATTAACTCTTACTTCTGATATATTCTCTATCTCTATAAATCTTCTTACTATTCTCTATCTTTATAAATCTGGAATACTGTTGCCATATCTGGGGCGAATCTTCTAATGATGCCCTTTCTCTTTTAGGCAAGGTGGAAAATCGCATTGTAAACATAGTTGGACCTGTTCTTGCAGCCAATCTTCAACCTTTGTCACATCATCAGAATGTTGCTTCTCTTTCTCTTTTCTACAAATACTATAATGGGCACTGCTCTAAAGAGCTAGCGTCTCTTGTGCCATCTACTAAAATTCATTCTCGTGTTACTCGTCATTCAATTAAGTTTCATCCTTTTTCTGTTACTGTTCCTAAGTGCTCCAAAAACTCTTATTTGTCTAGTTTTTTTCCTTGAACATCAGTTCTTTGGAATTCGCTTCCTTCATCTTGCTTTCCTGATTCATATAATTTGCAATCTTTTGTCAATCGTTATCTTGCTCTACAATCTTCATCTTTTCTCTTTCAGCAACTTCCAACACTAATTAATGGTTGCTTGCAGCCTTGTTAAAAGCGAAGATGTTTAAAAAAAAAAAATTTACTAGTTTCTTTGTTTGTAATTTTCTTTTTTTATAATTTTTTGAATTTTTTTATTTTATTAAATAAATTATATTTTCATTTTTCATCTACAATATTAGTAATAGTACTATTAATAAATAACTTTATAATTAAATTTTTTTTTTTCATTTTTGGATTTGTTTGCTTAATAATATTTATAAATAACTGTATAATTAAAATTTTTTTTTTACTTTGGATTTGTTTGTTTATTAAAAAATATCAAGTTTTTATTTATTTAAATTTCTTTATAATGAAATGTTTTCTTTTCTGCTGAAGAGAATAGTCTTTAATGAAGAAAAAATCACTGCCATTGGTCACTGCCATTGGATTGCCATTGGTCACTGGCATCGGAATGGCTGAATTTTACACATCAACCAATTAACCATTTTAATCATCTAACAAAATTTTTTTTTTTAATTTTCCTATATTGCTGAAATGTGTTTTTATATATGTGTGATTTTTTTGTCTGCAGTATTTCTGTCTGTCAATATCAGGCATATCTAGATATTCATATTCTGCATAATACTTACTGCATGCTGTATAAGAATTTTTTCTTCACAAATATAACTTATTAGTTGACTGAGTTGTATTCTAAACTATATTTTTAGCGATGAGGAAAATAATGCAGAAGAAGAATTAGATGAAGCGGTATTATTTGGAATTTAATTTTTAATAATTATGTATAATAAAAAATGTGAATATTTCTTATCTATGTGTGTGTATATATAAATATATATATATATATATATATATATATATATATATATATATATATATATATATATATATATATATATATATATATATATATATATATATATATATATATATGTATGTATATATATATATATTTATATATATACATACAAATATATATATATTTATATATATACAAATTTTTCCCATACTAGGCATATATATTTTTTATATATGGTAAAAATTAAAGAATACTAATTAAGCTCACAAATAAGCTATATTTTACCAAAATAAAATGCAAATATTACCTTTTTACTTGTGTGTAAAAGTATATAAGTAAAATTTTATACTTATGTATAAAATATTATAACCTATATTACATTTATTTTTTAGGCTATTGAGCGACGGAGAGAAATTCTAAAAAAACGAGCACAAATCAGAAAAGAAAAAGAGAAGGTTAGTAAAAAGTCATTGTATTGAAGCAATTGAGTTTTAAAGAAAGTAGAAGTTAAATTAGTTGACTTATAAGTTTAATTTTTTTACTTTGAATTAATTTAGGTTTTATAAATTTATTTGTAGTTTTTTCATTATTATACAATCTTTAATGTTTTTTTTTTTTTATCCTTATTAATAGATTTGTAGATAGTAAATAAGTAGTTAACAGTTGGTTACTAAAAATCCGGACTAATTTTATCTGACTTTTCAATACCAGAAGCTAAACTTTTATTTTTATGCCATCCATTTTAAAGCTTATTTAATTCTCTATAAGTTAATTGCTGAAATTTCTTGATAAGAACAATAATAGCTAGTTGAATCCTTTCAAATCATCAGTTTCTTTGATTATTGCTCTAATGTTTTGAACAATTTACTTTGTAACAATAGAAGTAGAAAGGCTGGATCTTTCTTGGTCGTGAACAAGTCTCCTTATATTTGCCAATTAAGTTACTATTTTGTTTTCTCGTTTGGTATGGAGTGTTGGAATGTTAAGTTGATTTTTCCATTGCTTTCTTACCTCTTGAAAATTTTAAATTTGGCAATAAAAAAATACTCTGAATTCTTTCCTCAATTAAAAGTTGTAAATTCAAGCTATATATATATAATATATATGTATATATATATATATGTATATATATATATATATATATATATATATATATATATATATATATATATATATATATATATATATATATATATATATATATATATATATATATATATATATATATATATATATATATATATATATATATATATATATATGACTTAAAAGGTTGGAAGTTTATGATTCTTATGGATTGACGTTGAGAGGACATTTATTTTTTGATGTGATAGTACATCAAGAGTTTGTAATGTCAGAATGTTAAATACAGCTCATAATGTAACTTATTACCTATATAATAAATCTTTTATCTATATAATAAACCTGGCAATCTAACCAAGTTCACCACCCAACCTGATTTTCTTATGCCATACATTGTATTTTCTGGTCCAATATTATACCATGCATTATAAAGGTGAGGAGGGGGAGGGGCCTTTATAGATTCTAATGGAGTTAGGCACTATGCATTTGCTGACCCCCAAAAGAGAACAATATTCATAAATTTACCACATGATGGAGCACGGTAATCAGATCAAGGTAAGATCAATAACTCTTGCTTTTGTGTAAAAATTCAGATTTCTTATTCCAAGAACTACATTTCCAAAAAGTGCATTACATTTTCTTAGAAAAGATATGCACCAATCTTTTCCTGGTCATTTTTGAATAGATGGGAAATGGGAAGCAACACAAATTACCCTCAGTTTTCGTGTGTTGATTGTTATAAATATTACTCTATTTTAAAGGTAAAACTCAGATAATGAATGCTGCATTTGCTATAGCAAGAAGATCTTCGAAGTATTCTTAATTTTTACTAGTTATATGTTATATATAGATTTACCATCAGTTTAATATCTTCTCTTCTTGTGAAATCAGCTAAGTACCTCGAGACTACTACTAAGAGTTTTTTCTCTTAAAACAAACTCATTACAGCTTCTGGTTCTTTATTCATTCCATCAGATTTGATCATGGTTCTTCTGGATATTGCCCCATCATCTTGTCACATCATGATATTAAACAAAACAAAAATGCTAAATATATTTACTAATTCAATGTGTGTGTATTGTTCTTCCCTACCCTAATAATTTGTTTTTTTCTCTGACAACTTACACTTACTTTTGTAGTCTAGTTCAAAAGGGTATTAAAAAAAAAGTATTTGTAAATACTCTTTTTTTTTACTAGTCACTACTGAACATGCTTAGATTAATGTTTATCGAAATTTGACAAATGTTAACAAAACTTGATATTTTTTGACACCAAGTGAAATCAGTAACTTTGGTTGTTAGTTAACTATAATTAATACTTTTTGACACCAAGTGAAACCAGTAACTTTGATTGTTAACAAAACTTGATACTTTTTGACACCAAGTGAAACCAGTAACTTTGATTGTTAACAAAACTTGATACTTTTTGACACCAAGTGAAACAAGTAACTTTGATTGTTAGCAAAAATTGATACTTTTTGACTCAAAGTGAAACCAGTAACTTTGATTGTTAAGGATAATTGATACTTTTTGACACCAAATGAAGCCAACAACTTTGAATGTTAGTTAGTGGAAGATTTTTGTTGCTATTACTGTTTTTTAAGCTATAATTTTTTATTTTTATTTTTATAAACAAAAACCTGAAATTATTTATAGGATCTCCTAGATGTTGAAGAAGATGAAGATCTTATTGAAGAGGAAGAAGAAGAGGAGGTAATTTACAGAACTCAAATTTTTTTATTTTATGAATTTACAGAACTCAAACTGATTTTTTTATTTTATTATTTTTTTTTTTTTTATTTACAAATAGCACTCAAATGTTTTTTTTTATTATTTAGATATAGCTAAAATTTAAACAATAATAAATAATAACAATAGTAAAGAAATAACAAATTGCTTTATATTTATTCTTATGTTTTTAATTTAATGTAGTGTTCCATCTTCTTCTTTTAGCTTCGTGTCGCTTGCTTACGCAATGTCTTGTAACATAAGAAATGTTTGCTAATTTCATTTACTTTGTTTTTAATAAAGCTAAAACAAAAGCAAAAAGTTTACAAAATTTGTATATTTACTTTAAAATAAATGGTACAAAAATAAGTATTCTTTTAACAAAAAAAACACTGTAATAAAATAAGAAATTAAAACATAATCTATTTATAATCTATAAGTTCAAACAGTCTTTAGATTTGTCCTTATTTTGTTACAAAAAAAAAAAACATAAAATAAACTCAACTTTGCGTAAAAGAATGATAATCTGAAAATAAAGATCTCATTAACTTTTGAATGAATTTGATTTTTTTAAATACAATAATTTTCGAAAATTTTCAACATATTGTAATGTTTTCTTTTTTTTTTTTTTTTTTTAATATTTTAATCACAATAATCTTAATTACAGAAAACATTTAATAAAACAACTTTTAAAAAATTTATCAATACATTGTAACTTTTATTATTTGCAATTTTTATTATTTAATGTAGCTTTAATTATTTGCAATTTTTATTATTTAATGTAGCTTTTATTATTTGCAATTTTTTTTCTTAAGAATAAGTAAAAATAAGAACAACCAAATAAAAATCATTTTTTAAGTTCAAAATTTCCATAATTAACCATTTCTACGGTACATATAATCAAAATTGAATTTTTTGATTGATAATCAAAACTGGTCTTCAAAATTTTAGTTTATACAAAGCCGTGTACTTTGTTTTCAAAGAGCAAAGTTTGTTAGCAAGAAAGGTGAAAAAATAAAACAAAACAATAAACTTATGACTACAAAAGTAATAACACTTTAGTCACTAACTGCATTATAAAAGTAATAAAACTATAATAGTATTATTACATTTATAAAGCATTTATTATTTTTAAAGTTCATTCTTTGTTCAAACAATATTAGTAATTCCAAACATTAATTAAAGTAGAAAAGCATCTAGAAAAAATAAAGTGAATATTCCAATATTATTAAAAACTTCCGTAACATTTACAAATCACTTAAACAGCTTTATAAAAAGGAATTTAATAAAGGGTTTAGTTTTAAGAAAAATGTTACTGATAGTCCGTAAAAATTTACATTAATTATAAAATAAAAATCAATCAATAAAAAATTTTTTTTTGGTTAATTATTGAAATTAAAGCGCCGTTTTTATGGTCGATTAGTAAAGTTTTTTGTAATGCTAAACTTTTTATACAGTACATTTTTATAAAGTTGTTTAAGTTCCTTAAGTTTTAAATATTATTTGAATATCCATTCTATTTTTCTAGATACTTTTCTACTTCAATTAAAATTTGAGATTACTTATGTTGTTTGAACAAAGAATGAATAATAAAAGTAATAACACTATTATAGGGTTATTACTTTATAATGCAGTTAGTGACTAGAGTGTTATTACTTTTGTAGTTGTAAGTTTATTGTTTTATTTTTTTTAACTTTTTCGGAAAATCATCCTTTCTATTGTAGACTTAAAACTGCTTTTTTTTTTTTTAATGCTTCGCCTTGTCTAATTTTGTTGCCTAATGTAACAACCACTCTAAATAAAAACAGTACAAAAATAATTGAAATTATTAATATATTTTAAATTTTTTCTATTTGAATTTCTTTCTATTTCCTATTTTGTTAGTTTTTGTTTTTTGTTTTTGAAACTTTCTCTGCAATGATTATTATAAAACTTGCAAACGGCCATGACCAAGTTGTCTAAAATAAAATACTCAAATGTGGTTTTACAAGTCAAAAAACTTTACGCGTTTCCTGGGAAACTGTTCTCCAGATTTGTCATCTATCAAAACAACTGCTTATCAGAATCTTGATTTTCCAGCCTGATAAAAAGCAGCATCTGTTATCCCTATTTTCAAAAATTCTGGAGAGCGATCTGACTTGTCTAACTATTGTCCCATTAGTCTTATTCCTATCATAAGCAAGGTTTTTGAATCTTCGATTAACAAACAATAAATCTCTCATTGAATCTAATTACTTACTTTCTGATCATCAATATGGGTTTCAATCTTCTCGTTCTACAGCTGATTTGCTTGGGCAGATCTTCCGATGATGCCCTTTCTCTTTTAGACAGGGTGCAAAAACGCATTGTAAATATAGTTGGACCTACTCTTGCAGCCAACCTCAAACCATTATTGCATCGTCATAATGTTGCTTCTCTTTTTCTTTTCTACAAATACTATTATGGGCATTGCTCTAAAGAGCTAGTGTCATTTGTGTCATCTACTGAAATTAGTTCTCATGTTAGTCCTCATTTAATTAAGTCTCATCCTTTTTCTGTGACTGTTCCTAAGTGCTTCAAAAACTCTTATTCTTCTAGTTTTTTTCCTCGAACATCAGTTCTTTGGAATTCACTTTCTTCGTCCTTTTTCTGTGACTGCTCCAAAAACTCTTATTTATCTAGTTTTTTTCCTTTGAAATTGATATTGATACAAACATTGTGGTAAGAAACAAACGATTTATTAATTATAAAAGCTTTTGAAAAAACACCATATGAAGAGTGTTTTTAGAAAAAACCAACATGCAAGACTTTATCAAAAGTTGCTGATGCATCAATATCTAGTTTTTTTCCTTTCTTTTAAATTCCCTTTTCTTTCTTCGGTTCTTTTAAATTTCCTTCTTTTATCTTGCTTTCCTGATTCATATAATTTGCAATCTTTTAAGTTGTCTGTCAATCGTTATTTTGCTCTATAAACTTTATCTTTTCTCTTCCAGTAACTCCAACTCTAATAGTGGTTGCTCGCAGCCTTGTTGGAAGTGAAGATGTTGAAAGAAAAAAAAAATGTTGCTGTAAACAAACTTTTTTTGTGAAAATAATTTTGATTAATAAATAAACAATATAAAAAATGTTTTTTATTATTTAAAAAAAATTGTTAACCTTAATTCATAAAAATTAATTTAAGTCTGATGTTGATTTTAGCAAAGACTCTTTTTTTTTGTTGAAATTTTTGTTCAAAATGCATTAAACAAATAAATATACTTATTATTACTACGTATTATTTATAACTCACAGAAACTATAAAATGGGACAAAATTGTTACTTTAGTGAGCATGCAATAACTAATGGAGACGGTGATAAAATGTTTAAAGTTTTCATTTTAGTCTTCTGAGTATGAAGAATACAGTGACAGTGATGAAGAAAATACATTGAGGTTAAAACCTGTTTTTGTTAGAAAGTAAGTATCAAGTTTTATTACTTTTTTTCACCATAGATCATTTCTGAAATATTTAATAAAAACTTTTATTTACCTAAAATAAAATATATGATAAAAAAAAAACTTTTTTGTTTGATAAGCTATAAAATGCTAGTTTTAATTTGTTGTTATTAATACAACCGTTATGTTGTTGCATTGTACATTTCTTATATTAATTAAATAAGAGATATGCCCAATACCTTATTCTGTTGCTATTTTTCTGGGTACCCGGAATATATGTGCCAGGTACCCTTCTGGAACTATTCTTGCAGTTTTTAGGAGTCCTCAGAATATATAGATGTGCTGGGTGCCCAGGTTGGACTTTTTATTTGTTTATATATATAAATAATTTTAAATGCATTACATAAATTAAAATTATATATATATATATATATATATATATATATATATATAATATATATATATATATATATATATATATATATAAAAATGTTACATGTATATATATATATATATATATATATATATATATATATATACATGTAACATTTTTATATATATATATATATATATATATATATATATATATATATATATATATATATATATATATATATATAAATGTTACATGTATATATATATATATATATATATATATATATACATATATATATATTTACATGTATATACATATATATATATATATATATATATATATATATATATATATATATATATATATATATATATATATATATATATATATATATAGCAGTTGATCATAAAATTATCCTTATGTGTGTGTGTGTATATAAATAGATTTTTTTAAATTCTTCCTGCTTACCTTTTTCTCTATCTCTTGAACATGAAATTTGTTCAGAAGAAGTGTCTGTTGGGTGAAAGTGAAAAAACTTATTTCTCTTAAGTGTAAATAATATATATAGTAAATAATATATTTATGTTTCATTATTTTATTCTAAATTTATTTTGCTGTTTTAAAAGTTTATTATGTTTCCTGCTAATTTTATTTTCATCTCAAATGAATTATCTAACTAAATTTTAAGTAACATTGTATTGGAAAGACTTTCAAATAATGTACAGTATGATTTCATGTTTAGGCGTTCTTGCATGAACACCATGAACATAAAATCAATGATTTAAAGCAAAAAATTTTATTTTTAATTTTATTAAAAACATAATATTTAAGAATTAAGTAAGAAGCATGAATGAATGTATTGCAATTTAACTAGTCATTAAGTTTTTAGGGAAAATTTTATTTGTTGTTTTCTCTTAACATATAGAAATGATCGTATAACAATTCAAGAAAGAGAGCGTATTCAAACAGAGACAGAAATTAGTGAAGAGAAAATGAAGAAAATTCTTGAAGAGAGAAAGCGTGCATCAACAAGAGTATGTTTTTTTTCTCTGAAACATTTATAAATATTTATATTTATAAATAATATCTATAAATATTTATATTTATATGTGATGATAAAAATTTTCCCTAAATATTAGATAAGTTAATATTTAAATTAAAACTTTTAAAGTATATATTTTTAAGTTTGCGTATGTGTGTATTAATATTTAAATAAAAGTTTTGTGTTTATGCGTGCGTGCGTGTTTATATATTAGGCCTATATAATTATATATCAGATGGTTTGGATCACATGGTATTAACATGTACATTTTTCATTTTTTTGCTAAAACCTAAAAAATGTAGCTTTAGTTACATTTTTTGTAACCAGCAGAGGCACACACACAAATGTATGTATAAATATTGTCACTCAAATGTATGTATATACCAGGGTTAGCATTAAAAAACCCGCCTAATAAAACCCATTAAAAACCGCATAAAAAAACGCAATAAAACCCAGGCAATCTGGTTTTTTTTGAAATATATCTATAATCTTATAAACTATTTTATTATTAATATATACTATTATTAAGCAACATTTCTGAAAACATAAACATATTATAGAGCTAGCTATAAAGGGAAATTTTCAATTTAAACACAATATTTTTTTTATTTAACACAATTTTATTTTGGAAACCAAACAAATTAGATTCATTCAATAAGATTTTTTAGAATAAATACACATTGACAAGACTGATTACATTTTTGGTATACTTCTTGCAAATACAACTCTCTATTTTTGATACTGTCTATATATTTGCACAAGTTTTTTAGCCTTTTCACATCCTAATTTATTTTTAACTTTTGACCAAATAAAACCAAACAAAGAAAATATTATTTTTATTGATCCTGAGCTAGTAGGGCATGTTTCAGGCAATTTTTTCTGAATTGATTTTTCATTTCTCTGGTTAATGATAGACCACCAATCACTGCACAATACTGCTGATATAATTTGATCGCTCAACATCCTTTTAAGAAATGCACCACAATCCTTTAATTTAAGCAAAATCAACCCAGGTACAAAATCAGGATAATCATTGTAAAGCCATTCTTCAGCCTTATCTTGATTTTCAGTCGGCAGGTTTTTGCCTATTAAAAAAAAAAATTCAGATTAGTTTATAGGTGTGAAAACAATTTTTTTTTTTAAAGCAAAACTTATTTTTACCCAAAAAGCAAGGATTGGTCATCCATCGAGGATTGGTCATGTATGCAAGATAATGGATAGGTGTCAGCATCATTACATCTCTTTTTGAAAGCGGTGTGGTAATGACTTAGTTCAGGGTTGTTCAGAAGTGAGAGCCACAACTCAACACATTCGGATAGGTGACATCTGTCAGCATCTAGAAAAAATTTAATTTTTTTTTTATTTAATCAACATAATATATTTATTTTATTACTTTTCCTTTACACCTACAAAATCTTATTATGTAAAAAAAAAACTTTAATATAAAAAAGTTAATTACTTGATCTAAAACAACACCAAATATTTTGAGTTGGGTTTGAAGACTGTTAGCTTCTCTAAATATTGCTCGATTTTCAATAATTTTTCTGATTTTAATAGGTATATCATGATTATTTACTATTTCTACATAAATTTTATGTATGTTTCTATACAGTCAATTTGGGAGTTTCATCAGGTATTTTTTGGTAACTGAGGCATATGCCCTCCTTTCTCATGCAACCATCCCTTAAAATAAAAATTGAATAGTTAATTTTAAACTTTTATATATTTTTATACTTTAAGTTTAACCCACAAATACAAAATAATGTTTACATGCGGTTGATGTGTATTGCGAAAATATTTCTGAAAAAATATTTAACCATATGTTTGATGACATCTGGTTGTGTTACTTCTTTTTTTAAAAGGTTTAAATAATGTTAAAAGATTTGGATATGTTTTTTTGATTGAATCCCTCATTTTTTTTTATCTTATTTTCATTATCTGTTACCACAGCGAATACTTCTTTGTTGTATGTTTCTTTAAGATCTTTAATGGCATTACAAAGGAGTTCGGTACAATACTTGGCTGTTTTTTTATTTGATGCAAAATCAGTAATGCAAAAAGTTTTAAAATTAAGTCCGTCATATGCACTATGAGCAATAATAGGATCATTAGTAACACAACTCCATCTGTCTTGCATAATTGTTATTGTTTTCTCTTCTTGGGTAAGTTGATCCATCATTTTTTTTGTTTACTTTCTTATAAACTTTTTCTAAGAGCTCTTCTCCAAGCATTTTATGGTTAGGTGGATTATATCCTGGTCTCAATGAATTGATCATGTCTATAAATTCTTGATTTTTAGAACTTTTAATTGATACATTTGCACTGAAGAAAAATTTTGCTGATTTTATATCAATATTTTCTTTCTGTTCCATATTAGTTGATATTGTGTACGATGACATCAACTTTGCTTCATACAAGGTGTTAAAGAACTTATAGAACTTTCAAATGCCAAAAAACTTTTTCCAACTTGAGATGATGGTCCAGCTATTAGAGCAGATACACTAATATTTAAATCACTATTTGGTACATTATCACAATTTTTATTTAAATATTTTGACAAATTGAGATTGTCCCCTTCTGTATGCTTGTGTAAAAACTTAAACTTTTTTTGGCATTGTTTTAAATGGGGCTTTACTAGTTCTATCTTGTTGCTAATCAAAGCATGACAATAGTCGCAAGAAACCTTTGTACTGTTTTCAACTTTAGTCATTTCATCCCATTCTCCAGCTTTCTTTCTCCCACTTCCCATCAGCATTTTTAATTATGAAAAATATTATTATTAAATCTAAAATAAATCAATACATATATGTTTATCATGAATTTTTTTTTTATTTTGTTACATTTTTTAATTATTGTTTAAACTGTAATTAAAATAAACTTATTGAAAATAATTTGAGGTGTTATAAGTTTTAAAAACATATAAAATATATTTAAAATAAACTTAAGGTTAAAAATGATATAAGCTTTCAATATTATTAACAAACAAAAAAAAAAATTTTAACAAAAATAAAAAATGAAAAACTTAAAAATACCCAAAAAAACCCACTGGGCCGGGTCTTTTTATAAAAAAACCCAGGTTTTTGCCAACCCTGGTATACACACATACATATGTGTGTTCACACATACAAATGTATGTTTACCTAAATTTTTTTAATAATAGTTTATTGGTTATAGTTGGTTAATGAAATTATTCAAGAAGAACTGAAGGAAGAACAGGGGGGTGAGTTTTTTACTAGTTATTTACTCTATAGTATGTTATTTTTATTAGATATTTTGTTTTTTTGTTTTTTTTTTAAATCATAAAGAATTTTATTCAAAATTTAACTTCAAGTTTTTTCCTGATATAGAAATTTTTCTTGATATGGAAACTTTTTCTTGTATTGTTAAAAATTATTAATTGCAGTAAAATTAGTTGTGCATGCAATTTGTATGTAGATGCTATCAAAATGTTAAAGCAGATATTTTTAATCTAACGTTGTAATTTTGATTGAAAAGCAAGTCGCTTCATTAAAAATTATAAAAACTAAATAAATTATATATCATCTTATTTTTTTTTTTTTATTTTTTTTTTTTATTTGCATTCACTCCTAACAAGGCTGCAAGCAACCACTATCAAGTTGGGAGTTACTAGGAAAAAAAAGAACAGAGTTATAGAGCAAGGAAACGATTGACAGAAGACTTGAAAAGTTGAAGGTTGTATGAGTCAGGAAAACATGAAGATGGGAGAGAGTTCCAAAGGATTGAAGTGCAGGGAAAAAAACTAGATGAATAAAAGTTTTTAGAGCATGCAGGGATAGATACAGTAAACGAATGAGACTTAGCTGAATGACGAGTAAAACGAGAATGAATTTTAGTTGATGCAACTAGAGATGATAACTCCTTTGAGCAGTGACCATGATAGTATTTGTAGAAAAGAGAAAGAGATGCAACTTTACGACGATGAGAAAGAGGTTCAAGCTTAGCAGATAGTCCAGGTCCAACAACATTTACAATGCGTTTTTGGACCTTGTCAAGAAGAGAAAGTGAATCGTTAGAAGAACCAGCCCAAATATGACAACAGTATTCCATACAGGGACGAATAAGAGATTTGTAGAGGTAGAGAATGGAATCAGAAGTAAGAAAATGGCGAGCACGATAAAGAGAAGCAACCTTAGCAGAAGCTAATTTAGCAATCGATTGTATATATGGTTTCCATGAAAGGTCAGTAGTAAGCGATGATCCAAGAAGACGTAAAGAGGACGACTCAGTAAGAGGATTGCCATTCATTAATATAGGAATGTTGACCATATTACGGTAGTTGTTTGCAGTAAGCAATTGGGTTTTTTTTGAGTTGAAATTCACAAGCCACTGTGAACCCCGATCTATTACTGAAGTGAGATCAGATTTAAGATCAGCTGCTTGTTCTAGGCGATCGAAAAGAGAAGACTTTTTGTCAAGACAGGAGTATAAAGTTGAGTCATCAGCAAAAAGAGCTACTTTAGATGAAAGGTTCTCAGGAAGATTGTTTATGTAGATAAGAAACAAAACAGGGCCCAGGATAAAACCTTGGGGAACCCCAGAAGTTACTGGAAATAAAGAAGAGTGTTGGCCTTCAAGGATGACTTTAATAAACCGGTTAGAAAGAAATGATTTGATAATCTCAAAAACTTTCCCAGAAACACCATATGAAGCAAGCTTATGGAGAAGACCGAAGGCGAAGGAATAAAAGCTTCCATTCCAGCCTTAATCCAGGAGGTTATGTAGGAGGCGCATTTGTCAGCTGAGAGAGAAAAAACATCAGCCCAAGTACCATCACGAAGAAAATCACGAAAGGAGTCCCAGTCAGCTTTAGGGTAGTAGTAGGTGGTGCGATGATAAGGTGAGCCCAAAAAAGAAGTACGAGAAGAAAGATTTATAGAGATCATTGCATGGTCAGAACCACCTAAGGGAGAAAAGGGAGAAACTGAACATAAGCTAGGGTCAGAGACAAGACATAAGTCAAGGAGTGAAGGTAAATGATTAGGGTTGTCAGGAAAACGAGTCACAAAGTTAACTGAGTAAGAGATTGTGAAACGCAGAAGTTAAAGGCTTTAGTGCCAGCAGGATCAGTGGTGTTAGAGCCAATCCCTTTAGTGTGATGGGCATTAAAATCACCAACAACAACAATATTGGCAGAGGGGTAAAGAGAGAGGGCATGGTCAATTTTATCAGAGATAACATCTAAAAGAGTGCAATCATGGGAAGAAGGAGAACGATAAAGAACAAAGAGAAAGGTGATAGAGTGAAGAGGTGCTAGGCAAAAGCACATAAAAAAATGGTCAAAGGATTCGAACCTGATTTCACGACAAATAGGGGAATTAATGCGTATGTATACCCCTAAACCTAGCATGTGACTATTAGAGTCTTTTTGAATCAAAGGATAGTACCCATCAACACTGACATCTGAAGAAGGAATTGCAGATTTTAAATTTGTTTCACTGAGTGCAAGCAAGTCTGGTGAATTTTGCAGGAGGTAAGACTCAACTGATGGAAAGTTGCTTCGTAGACCGCGAATATTTGTAAAAGATATATTAAAATATTTAGGTGGTGGGGATGGTTTTTTAGGTTTTAAATTTTTGGTTACTTTGGTCATGATTTGGGTTTAATGAGAACTTGACTCATTCATAGATAAAGCACAGCCTCCTTATCAATGAGCTATGCAGTTGTCTCTGTCGTGTTAATTAACCCTGAGCCGTGATATAGGGCTTCTTATGTGGCCTTGACAATGCACACCAAAAGCATTAACAGGGACACCATCCATGCGCAACATTGCACTGTTAATACTCTGATATTTTGCAGCTCTTGATGGAACCAGCCTTTCTGAGAGCTACCACAGAGTTCGGGAAACCTTACTACCAGCCGGCTTCAGAACCATTAAACTGAGTTTTAGAGCTGTACCCTCATATGGAGATAACAGGAAGAGTTGCATAGCCATTATCAAGGAGGCATAAGCAAAATTCTATGAGTAGAGTCAAGGAGATCCAGCATTCATCATCCTAGGCAGGAAACAATGTAACACAGGTTACATCTATGCCAGCCTAATAGATGAAGAAGGGGTTCGAGGCTGGTTAGCAGAATTTTTCTGCTTACCCCTAAAGTCTTTGCCTAGGAGGCCTTCTACAAGACTGTAGCAGGATGCAGATAACATCTGCCCAAGATGAGTATTTTTATTGAGACACCATCTCTAGCCTTTACTCAACCAAGAGCCCCAAGGCAGGGGATGTTTAGCTGGATGCAGTTAGCATCTGCCTAAGATGAGTGTTTTTATCGAGACACCATCTCTAGCCTTTACTCAACCAAGAGCCCCAAGGCAGGGGAATTTTTAGTCGGAGTTTATTTCTCCTAGCCTTTGCCTAAGAAGAGCACACTCTACAAGGCAGCAGGGCTTTTTGCAGGTGGTACTGGGTTACGTGATACCAGTAGCAAGATTGGTCTCGATTATCCTGACCTGACCTGGAGTAGTTAAAAGGAGTTACTTCCCGCAACAGTACTTTGAGAAAACCAGGCATGATATTTTGGAAGTGCATTAGGAAAACACTGCATCTAACAAAATACAGGAGTCTAAGGTGAGTGTAGGTTTTGAGTAGTTGGAGTAAGTAGTTAGTTACTGAGCTCACGCTGCATTAGAGTATAAACAGAACACTAACAAACATAAATCAACTTACGGGTGAGTCAACACCGCGCCAGAGGTTCAGACAGAACACAAACATACATAAAAAACATAAAAAACATAAAGTAACTTACGGGTGAGCGAACACCGCGCCAGAGGTTCAGACAGAACCCAAACATACATAAAAAAACATAAAAAACATAAACATAAAGTAACTTACGGGTGAGCGAACACCGCGCCAGAGGTTCAGACAGAACACAGACATACATAAAGAACATAAAGTAACTTACGGGTGAGCGAACACCGCGCCAGAGGTTCAGACAGAACACAAACATACATATAACGTAGATTACAGGTGAGCTAATAGAGTAACTAAGGCACCTCCAACTATATGGGGAAAAAAAAAATTACTATAGGCATGACTGATATTAGATAGTACTGATGACAGGAAGAACACTCCTTCCAGCCTTTGCTTAGAAAGCAAATCCTGCAAGGCAGTAGAACATGGAACAGGTTGCACTGGGTTACATGTTACCAGTAGCAGGATGATCATGAAGACCATACTCCTGACCTGACAGATATTTCAATAAGTTAATAGTAAAAGAATAAGTCAATTCAATAAGTTCAAAAGAATAAGTCAATTTCAATAAGTTAATAGTAAAAGTTAGATTTTCTTGTGTAATTATATAAAATATTTATTATATAAAATATTTATTATATAAAGTATTTATTATATAAAATAGTTATAATATAAAATAGCAACAAGAATGAAATTTAATAAAAAATGGTGAAATAATTATAAACATTTTTTTTATTTTATTTTTAAAATCTACATTATTGACTTATATACAAATATAAATATATTTATGAATATATTGTTTCATTATTTCTCTTATTATATTTATATATATTTATTGTTAATATATATTATACTATTAAATGTATTTTAACTATTAAATTAAAACAACACCAGAAATATATACTAGAAAAAATTGGGACCAATTTGTAATTGGGCATCATGAAAATAAATGTTTGTGCATTATATAGTGAGGGTAGGTAAAAATATTAAAAGCAGAACTTAAAAAATTTGAGATAAAAGTTAGAGAATCAATTCAAATTTAATCTCATGAAAGTGGACCCAAAAATTAAAGTAGAAAATTACACAGCGGTCAAATTGCAGTTCTAGATGCCATTCTTTAATATACTCAATCAATTAAGCAGAAAAAAAGAAGTCTTTTTTTTTTTTTTTTTTTGGCTTTTTAACTTTGAGTTTTTGAATTTTGATACTTTGATTTTTTGGATGGTAAGTATTACCAGTAATACTTACCATCCAAAAATACTTACCGAAAAAAAAAGTGATTAATCATTCAAAAATTAGTATTGTGACAACTCACATTTATTCATGTTTATGAATTAATCTAACTTCCAAATAATGTTTTGTCATCTAAAAAACATATATATAAACATACATATATATGTAGATATATATATATATATATATATATATCAGGCCTTGTTTTAAAGCGTTATGCCTAGAGCAATTTATGTACGCTTTTAGCGATTTTTACATATGCGTAGTTTTGTTTTCATAAAAGAAAAATTAATTTTTAAAAAAACCACATTAACTTTTGAATAACGATATTTAAAAATATTTACTACAAAAAAGAAGTTACGTTAAAAATAATTGTAGTAATTATGCAAATGTTCTTAATAAAAAGTAGTAATTTTTTAAAGTTTTCAGTAAAAAACTTTTAAAAAAATCTATATTCCAAATTTATTAATACAGAATATAAATGTTTTTTGTACTATAGATTTTTAAAGAGTTTTTTACTAAGCGCAGCGGCCTTGTTCATCAAGGTTCGTGTTTCGGAGTTATAGAGTTGAGAGAGGGTTATAGCCACAAATAAGTAGCCTCCTCGTCTGTAGTGGCCTTCTCGGCCTTGAGGAGGTGAATTAAAATAAAAATAAAATAAAATAAAAAAAAATATATATATATATTCACCCTTCAAACCTCGATTTTACGATTCTCGAATATTCTATGGAACTAATAAGCACAAATTTTGTTTATAAATAAAAATAAAAATGGCAGATAAACAGTGATCAATATCTGTCCAAGACGTTGTAAATTTTGTTTTAGAAGATAACTTGAATCTTTCTTCGTTGACAGAATCTTCATCTGACAGTGAAATAGAATTTTTAATTGAATCAGAATCAGATGAAGAATTATATTTGAGTGATTACAGTGGTGATAATTTTAAGAATATTCCATCAGTTGATCAAAATATCAAGAATATAAATACAGGTCAAGCTCTAAAGAAAAAAAAAGGTAGTTGCTATGAGAATTTAAATTGGCAAAAAGAACCTCCTAAAGAAGAAATGAAACGATTTAATTTTATTTGTGAAGAAAAAATCAATGAAGATATAAAAAACTCTGATCCTCTTGAATTATTTGAATTATTACAAATGAACTTTGTGAGTACATTGCTGAACAAACTAACATATACTTTAACCAAATGACAGGAGGTAAAATATTTCAAAGAAGCTCTCGTATATTTAAATTTATCAATAGTGGAGCTATGTTTACATCTCGTGACATACACCTTCATTTTGCAGTGATAATCTACTGTAGTATTGTTCGAAAGCCCAAATTGTGAATGTACTATACAAAAAGCAAACTGTTTGAAAGGCCAGGCTTTAAACGTATACTATCACAAAATAAATTATTATTATTAGAGAGATTTTTTCATTTTATAGATATTTCCAGTTTTGTAGACAAAAGTTATAAAAAAAATATAAAAAGTTAAATGCATTCAGGAGTACATTGTGGCATGTGGGAAAACAAGATATGTCTGGAATCAAATTATATACTTTGGTGCTGGCACAGAAATTTCTCATCAATACAAATATCAGGCCACTGATGTAGTAATGTCATTATCTGAAGGACTGTTAGATGTTGGACGATGCATATACCTTGACAATTGATATACCTCATTGGAAATTTTTCTTCGTAATGTTCCTACAACATCAGTTTTTCTTGTTCAAAGAAAAACTGATGTTGTAGGAACATTACAAAGTTACAGAAAATATTTACCAAAAGATGTTATTAATGCAAAATTAAAATCAAATGAAAGGTGTGTTGCATATGAGCAAGGATATCAATTCATGGTAATGCATTGGAGAGATAAATGTGATGTTTACATGATAACCACCTGTATACCTGGTACCACAGAAATTGTCTTACGTAAAGGTGTAAGGAAAGTAATACCAACTCTTATCCACTTTTACAACAGCAACATGGGTGGTGTTGATCTTAGTGATCAAATGACCACCTCCTATGCCTGTGAGTGTAAAAGAGTGAAAAAGTGGTATAAGAAGTTTTATTTCCATCTGATTAATCTTTCCATATTTAATGCACAAGTTATTCACAAAATGTTAGGAGGTAAACTAAAGGCTTAAGAATTAAGAATGCAGCTTGTTAGTGCTTTAGTTTCTTTTTATGGTTATGACAGTAACATCTGGGCAGGGTGGAAGACCAAGTCTTGATAGAAATCCAATGCGATTAGTGCATCGTCATTTTCCATCATATGCTCCGGAAACAGAATGTAAAACTGCACCTATATATATATATATATATATATATATATATATATATATATATATATATATATATATATATATATATATATATATATATATATATATATATATACATATATATATATATATACATATATATATATATATATATATATATACATACATACATACATATATATATATATATATATATATATATATATATATATATATATATATATATATATATATATATATATATATATATATATATATATATATATATATATATATATATATATATATGTGAATGTATATTTATAATTAAAAATCATCTGATTTTCAACTTCTTTTTCGGCAAATACTACACCATATAAATACTTAAGTTTATACAAATATTGAAAGATATTGTATGCCAATTTAATACCAAACATGTTTATATCTTTATTATGTATGCATAAATGCGCCTCTTACCTAACCTCCTGTATTTAAGCAGGTATTGAGGCTTTTATTCTTTCTCTTTGGTTTTATATCAAGCCTCATTCTACTCCATGTTTTTCACCTTCTTGTGCAGTTGCTATATTAAACTGTTATCAATTGTTTTATCTTTTTTACAAGAACATCTCTATTAAGAACAATTTTTTTTTTTTTTTTATGCAAGAAGTTAATGTAAAAAGGTTCTGTCTGATGTTAAGCTCCGTTATTCTCAGTTTACTAAGTCTTGTATCTCACTGATCAAGATTATCCAGAGACTCTTTAACAGTGTCATTAACTTTATTAAGTTCTGTAATTCATGGGTCTGATCTTATTACATTTTGCCAGAATATGGCAGAGTTATTTGCAAAGAACTTTCCCTCTAATTTGACTCTTGAATTTTATGATCATACTCTTCCTGCCATTCCAGTTAAACAGGTTAATTCATTGTTAGATATCCAAATCACTTTGACTTCTGATGCTAAAGTCACTTCTCCATTTTAATCTTCTATGGCTTGTGGTTCAGAGGATATTTTCTTTGGTCTTACAAATGTGTTCTCCAAAATTCTCTTCAATTCTTGCTAAACTAATATTAAGTGCTAAATAAGTGGTTTTAATATTTAAAAACTCTAGAAAACCTTTCCAACTAACCTACAACTAGTCTTATTTTTAGTATTCAGTATTATTTCTTTACATAAAAGTTTTAATATATTAAATTATTTCTTTCTAACCATAGTAGTCATTCTCGAAGGCCAACTCTCCTTTATTTCCAGTAACTTTATGAGTTCTGCTAAGTTCTATCTTTGCTCCTATATCATTTATTATCTACAATAACAATCTTTCTAACAATCTTACATCTAATGCCACTCTATTTGCTGACAACTCAACTTTATACTCTTTTTATAACTGTGCAACCTACAACTTTTAAGTCTACAATTTTTTAAAATTATAAATTATTTTCTAGCCCCAGCAGTCATCCCCTGCTAAATCTTATAATTTTGCCAGGGTCACGTTTGTAAAAAGGATTCTTTTTAGCCAGGGCTGGCTCAAAATTGGACTTATTTGCCGCCTTCGGCTCACTATTTGTAACTTTAGGTAATGTTTTGAGATCACAATTTAATAAGTTTAATGTTTACAAAAATTAATTAGTTTTTTTGAAATTTGAAATACTTGAATTTAAAGATTTTTAAAATTTTTAAAAATGAAAATTTTTTAACTTTTCATTTTTTAAAATTTTTAATTTGAAAATTTTTGAAAATTTCAAGTTTTTTAGTTTATTGAATTATATACTTTTTTAAATTTACATTTTTAAAACCTATTATTTTTAAATTTACATCATTGAAATTTTTGGTTTATTTAGTTGTTGAAATTGAACAGCTTGTCATCACTGATGATGAAAATGACGAAGAAGAAGTAAGATTTTTTTAAATTTGTTATCCCTTATCCCAAGTTAATTTGTTAGTCCTTTACTTGTGAAACTCTGCGTGCTTGAGATTCAGGTGGTATCATATTTTAACCTTTTGTTATTTTCACACTTGAGTATATTTAAGAATTTATAATGAAAAAATAAAATCTAAGAAAATTAAAAGTAGTTTCATTATTTACAAACGCATTGTAAGCTATAAACATTTTTTTCTTTATGTTTATTCATTTACAAGCTATACATATTATTTCTGTAGAAATGGTGTTAATAAATATTTTTACCGATAAAAATAAGTACAAAACAAGTTACGCAAGTTTGAAAAGCAAGATGAGAAAAGTGTATGTGCAAAATTGCAATATTTTTTATTGGATCAAAATCAAATAAATTATAAAATGATATTTTTTCAAAATTACAAAAGAAAGGAAAACAGTTGAGGTTATAAAACAAGTTACACAAAAAACCTAGATACATCTGTAGTTAAAGTAATAAACCATGGATTTACCATAAAGAAAGCTGAAATAACGTACAATATTCCATTTGGAATATTTCATAAAAAAGTAAAGCTTGGGGATTAAGTTCCGAAAAAGCTTGACATGCAGACCAGACTTGATAAAATAAAACCGAAAAATTATTTGGCCAAACAATTATTCATATGACTGATTAGAGAATACCATTTTATTTGTTAGACATAAAACTTTTAATCAAATGTTATTGTGATTAAGTGAAGATAAATGACGCTCGATTCATTTCGGGTTTATTTCTTCAATTTTGATGGAGAATTAAAAAATTGTTCTAATTTATACATTTTCCATATTTTGATATATTTTTTAATCTATAGTATCTATTAACTACCCTAAGAAGTGTAGCTGCGATCATGCGCGATCTTGAGCGTTATATAATTTTGAAAAATTGATGTATTTTAAACAAATGAAAAAATACTTTGAATAAAAATAATTTTTTTGAATCATCACAAAAAGTACAAAAAAAAAAAGAAGCTTTAAGGCATGAAAGACCAAAGTAAAAGTTTGGGGCGTCTTTTGAACGTCTTTTGAACGTTTTGGATGCCTTTTGAATGTTCAAAAAGCGTCTTTTTTTGGTCCGGTGCCCACTGAGTTGTTAAAAAGTTTATTTTTACTTTGTAAGTTTATTATAGTGGACTAAGATAATGGAGGAAATCAATTTAATACAAATTGTGTAATGTATTCAGGTTTTGGTAAATACTTTTGAAAATACATATTATAATAAATACAATTCAAGTCAGAGAAGACAAAATAAATACAATAGCAAGAGAAAATGACGTCTGAAGAAGCTTTTGTATATTTCTTGCATAACAAACTTTCAAGAAGTGTTTATGAAAATACCCATAAAGAAACACCATGCAGGTTTCTATTTTATCGAGTAATTTCTGAAATAAAAAATGAGTGCACACACTTTAAAACATCTATTGAAGTTACTGAAACAAAGGCCAAAGTTAAACTACAGGATCTTATGGATCACACATCCAAGAGGCTTGTGAAGCTACGCGAGAAAAAAGTTTTTAAAATTTTGATAATAAAAATAAAGACTTTGTTGAATTAATACTAATTAGTTGTCTGGGTATGGACAAAGTCATTCAAAACACTATCAACGTTTTAATAATTCCAATCAAAATAACCTTCAAGATTCGGATCTATTAGTCACAGTAACATCACCTCTTCAACTTCATGTACAATCAGATTTAATCAATATTTTATGGAATAACATAATGTCTCAGAGTATTAGGTTCTGTAGACCAATTATATTGAAGTATGTAAACAAAAATAAAGAAGTGGTATTAAAAATTAAGGAAGAAATTGAAAAAGAAATTCTTAATTTATATCCTGTTAAAGTTTACATTTCAGGACATAAGCATATTTTTATCAACTATAGTTTTGTCCTTTCAATGTTTGATGGAAAAATCTTAGTTTACATCACAGAGACTTCTTTAACACAATGTTGTCCGATTTGTCACCCCGCACCTAACATGATGAACAATCTAAAAAATCTTTAAGGAAGGGTTTGCTACAAATTGGCAGGCATTGTGCTATGGTATTTGACCACTATATGCTTGAATTAGGTTTTTTAATTTATACATATTTCATATAGAGTTGAAAAAAACTTGGAAATTAGAAAAGGTTTTCAAAAGATCAATATTTATTGAGAGAAAAAATTGTCCATGATAGGATGTTTGAAGAATTTGGTTTGAGAGTTGATGAACCAAGAGCTGGTGGGTCAGTTAGTGGAACTAGTAATACCAGAAATTTATGCAGATGAGCTTTTTCTGACCCTTTATTACTCAGCAAAATTTTAGAAATGGATGAAGAAATTATTATCAGATTACATAACATGCTAATTGCAATTAATTGCAAAGATCCAATACTGCAATGATACATATAAGAAGTTATTAAAGACATATGATTGGTTCAAGTTTCCATTCAAAAGGTATTAGCACATGCTAGGGAAATTATTATTTTGTTGACTATATTATATAAGTGGTAAATAATATTATTATACCACTTGATTTAAAGGGAGATGAAGCAGTTGAATTTCGACACAGAATTTTATAAATTTGATCGTGAACATCATGCAAGGAAAAAAAGTAGAGAAACAAACTTATTATCAAAAGTATTATATATAAAAAATCCAACTGGTGCCCCAGTGCTTAAGTGGATTTCCCCAACCCACCCCCTATTAGCTGGTTAAACATAAAAATAAAAAATATATTAAGTCTCTATTTTACTCATTTAAGGCTTTGCTTATCAACATAAATACAACGATTAAAATTTTTGGCCACCTATTTCAATGGAATGTTCCCACTGTGCAATGGTTGTTTATAAAGCAAAGAATCTTTACCAGGATTGAACTCAAGGTGGACCACCTGGAACTGTTTATGGCATCACCCTAAATGGGTGGTTTAATGGTAGAACATTTACTAAATGGTTTATGGAAATATATTTGCCTGTTACTATTTCAAAAGCCAGAACAACATAGTCAATTGGGGATAATTTTGGTTCACATTTTTCTCCTGAAGTTATTGAAGCCATGATTCAACATAAGATCAAATTTATAACAACCTCCAAATGCAACTCATCTCTGCCAACCACTAGATATTGCTGTATTTAAAGAATTAAAGCAGTTGTGGAGGAGAATTCTTTTGAAGTGGAGAATAGAAAGTTGTATTAAAGGAGCAATCCCAAAGAAATACCTACCTACGCTTTTAAATAAATTGAATAACACTTTGCGGCCAGAAGCTTGATTAGCGGATTTCGAGCAACAAGATATACACTTTGAACAAAATAGAGATTATAAAACGTCTTTCAGGAAAATATAAAGACCCTGGTAAGGACACCGTAACGGTTCTTAACGAATCTGCTTTAGATATTTTTAAAAATAATCAAAGATTAGACGCAAATCCACCTGCAAAATGCAAACTACGTGGTTCAAAGGTGTAACCAGGTAAAAGAATTCATTGTTCAGAAGAGTCAATACTATCAATAGATTTCAACAATAACACAGATAGTGATTGGTACTATGCTTTATTTAACAAAAAATGGGTAGAGTTAAGCAATGATGTATGGGTTCAACTAATTGTCTATTGTTTAACTTTCAATTTTAAATCTATTGTTTAACTTTTAATTTTTTAATTTTTAGCTAGTCGATTTAGTGTAAAAAATATTTTGCCATTATCTCAGAATGGAAAAAAAGTGAATTATCTGGTTTTGCAAGTCCACTCCTCATTTATAATTATTCCTTTTATATTTTACATTCAACTAAATCTTGCTCATTAATTAATTTCTCTTTATGACATTTTGAAACATTATCGTAGTTTTTCTTCTCCACTTAGTCATTCTTGGAACATCATTAAATGTTGAATCCCAAAGATAACGCTTATATTTTTTTCCGCTTAATTAGTACTCAAAAACTTATAAATGATCAACAACATCATTTACTTTTATATAAGAATATTAAATGCATATAAAAACTGACCATGGTATAAATGATATAAATGATGAACAACGTCATTGCTCTGTGATAAGACCGTAAGGACTTCTTGGGGTACCTTAATAAAAAAAATAAAAAAAAATTTATATCACTAGTCAAACCTGTCGGCTTATATTGTAGTTTTTTAAATAAAATAATAAAGTAAAAATGAAAGGATTTATACACAAACTATCACATTTTTAACATATTCTAATAACTCTGCTATTTAATAGTAAAGAAAAAACATAATAAATACCCGTACTAAATCCGGTCGCTAACTAAATCCTTACTAGAATGGTCATGTCAACAAAGTGACAAAACCAAATTAACAGAACTAAAATTGCATAAAACATTAATCATAAAATCAACTGTTTTGAAACTTAATAAAAATTTACCATACAATTAGTTATCTAATCTTATTTGATACACTGCTTACCTAAGCTATAATACACTGGTTATCTAATGTACATCTAAATTAAATAAAAATTAAAAATCAAATCAAATAGCTGTACTATTGCAAGTTATGTAAAGTAATAAATAATAAGATGAATATATGGATTTTATAATCCATTATAATATGATAATATCCAGAGATGTGGTCAAGACAGTAAAGGCCAAGGTCAAGACATAGACCAAGGCATTATGGCAATACAAAGACTAAGACTTCAAACTTCAAATCCAAGACCAAGAAAGAGTTAAATACAAATCTTGAGGACGTTTGAGGACCAAGAGGACCAATTCTCGAGATCTACATCATATTCTTATATTTATCATATTCTATTGCAAGTAGCTAGCTATTGCAAGTCTACACTGCAAAAAATTTGTTTTGTCAATTTAACCAAATTTGTTTGGTTAAGTAGATTTTGTAAAAGCTACAAACCTGTTTGGTTAAATATACCAAATCTTTTGTGAACTTTACCAAATCGTTTTTGTTATTTTAATTAAATTATTTGCTTTGATAATGTTTTTACTTTTTGTCTTCATGTTAAGTATAACAAATTTATTTGGTTAAATTTAAAAAATTGTATTTGCTATTTTCACCAAGGCTGGGCAATAACCAATAGCTATATATTCCAATGCAATCTTTAAGATATATTCCAATGCATTGCATTACATAAAATTGCATTGCATTGCATTGCATTACATAAAAATTACGATATATCAATAAAATAGTTTTTTATAATATAAATAATATATACATACATACTATGTTATAGACATATTATGTTACAACAAATTAAAAGCAAAACCTTAGTCCTTTATTTTTCATACATCACCTGACAAATATGTAGAACATTCAAGGAGTGTACATACATTACTGAAAAATAGGTAGAACATGAGGAGTTTACATACATTGACTGAAAAATAGGTAAAAAATGCAAGGGGTGCCCCTACATTTACTAGGGTTTTGGCCAGGCAATTTATCAATTTAAATAAAAAAAAAAAATTTTTTTTGTTTTTTGATTTTAATTTTTTCCAGGGGTTTTTTTTCTCAAAGATTATTTCGAGAACAAAAAAATTAGCAAAAGTTTTTTTTTAACAGTTATATTATTGTATTTATATATTTTAGTATATATTTTAAGATATATAAAGCAACAAATTTGTTTAGTATGAGGCATGGAAAGTAAGGGAGCTTAAGCGAATTAAACGAGACAAAGATGAAAAAGAAGCGTAAGTTTTTTTTTACCATCTTTTTTTTACTATCTATTTTTATTATGTATAGACTTTGTTATTATTTTTTTATTTTGAATATAAATTATTTTATCGTCATTTATTTGATGGTTGGTTGTTATTATTTGATGGTTTATCGTAGAATATTCTAAAAATTAGTTTAAAAGTTTGCAAATTTTTACTTAAAGCTAAAGCATTTTTAGATATTTTAATTATTCCTAAACAGAATAGTTTTAATGTAATCTAGTGTAATACTGGAATCAAAATGGTGCCAGCATTGTAAAGTTTTCATTTTTGATAAAAGCATTCTAAATCTTAGATAGCACAATGCACAAGGGCTGGTATTATTTATAAGATGTTATGATAATACTAAAGTTATACTTAACCACATTGTTTTGTTTTAAAATTTTATTACAGTTATTAATTTTTTTAAGTTACAAAAATTTTTTTTTTTTTTTTTTTTTTTGGTTTCTATTGCAGAAAAGTTATAGTTGAGCAAGTGTAATAATGAACTAAAGGTTTTATTAATCAGACTGAACATCTGTTTATTAATTTTATTATTATTTTTTTTTAAACAAAATTTTTTAAGTTATTAAAGAAAAATATTTTTTAGACGCGAACGAGAGAAATTAGAGATAGAACGTATGCACAACCTTACAGAAGAGGAGCGCAGAGAAGAATTACGTAGAAAACCTAAAATAATTACTAACAAAGGAACTAAGGGAAAATACAAGTTTCTTCAAAAATATTACCACAGAGGAGCATTTTTCATGGTTAGTTTTTTGTTAGTTAGTATATTACGACAGAGGAGCATTTTTCATGGTTAGTTTTTTGTTAGTTATTATATTACCACAGAGGAACATTTTTCATGGTTAGTTACCTTTTTTCTTAGTTAAAAGACCTTTTCTTATGGTTTTTAAATATATATTATTAAATAGATTTTTTTAAATTGATAATTAGTATTTTTAAAATTTCAGGACAAAGAAGAAGATATATTCAAACGCGACTTCACTGGCGCAACACTTGAAGACCACTTTGATAAAACAGTTTTACCAAAAGCAATGCAAGTTAAAAATTTTGGAAGATCTGGGCGTACAAAGTATACTCATCTTGTTGATCAAGACACAGCTCAGGTAATTTTTTTTTAATTTAAAAAAGAGACCGCTCAGGTAATTCTTAATTGAGTTAAATTTTAGTTTAAATTTTTAATATTTTGTAACCTTGGTACAAAAAATTATACACAGTTGCGAAAAATAAAATAGCACCACTAAGCGTATTTTCCTTTTTGTTAAAAAAATACCATGCAAAATAAAATTTTTTTATAGCTTTACTGTTTAAAATTTTAGCTAACATGTTTATTTTCTAAAACAAATCATTTTGGAAAAAAACTGCTTGGTGTCGGTCAATTTTAATCAAAAATTCCAATTCTGACCGAAAAATAAAATAGCACCACACACTCTTCTGTTGTAAAATACTCTGATAATGGTAAAAATAATTGTGAAATTAGCAAGCGTTGAGTTTTTTTTTTTTTTGTGCTGTTTTATTCATTTTATGTTAGTGCGTATTAGAAGGAGACATTTACATATAAAAATGGGACCGGGAAGCATTGTAGTGCAGAAAAAAGAGAACTGATCAGAAAGTTGATATCAGCAGGGAATCTTATAGAAAAGTTGGTCGTTTAGTTGAGTGTTCCAATAAAATGATAAGAAATGCCATCGAATTTCAAGAAAAGCCAGAAACATGTGGTTAAAAACGTTCTATTTCAACATTGCTGGCCAATCGCTTAGTCCAACAGGTTAAAAAGGAACCTTTTAAAACAGCTACCAAGCTAAAAAAAGACTTTAACATCGATGCAACAGTACAAACAGTTTGAAGTTGTCTGCGAGTTAATGGATTAAAAGCCTGTAGCCCCAGAAAAGTTCCACTTCTAAGTGCCAAACATGTTGTAAAGCGCATTGCATTTGCTAAAAAACACTTAAATTGGCCACTCGAAAAATGGAGGAATATTTTATGGACAGACGAAAGTAATATTGTGCTTTATGGTGGAAAAAGCTGTCGGGGGTATGTCAGAAGTCCGCCGAATGCAGAATACAATCCAAAATATACCATCAAAACTATTTAACATGGAGGTTGTAGTATAATGATATGGGCATGCTTTTCTTATTACGGAGTAGGGCCCATTTATCACATTACTACTATTATGGATCAATATGTTTATGTTGATATATTGGATAAAGTGATGTTGCGTATGCAGACTATGAAATGCTGTTGTCCAGGGTATTCTAACAGGGCAATGACCCAAAGCACACTAGAAAAAAGGCGAAGAATTGGTTTGAGGAGCATAAAGTGAACGTTATGGAGTGGCCAGCACAGTCGCCAGATCTTAATCCAATCGAGAATTTGCAGGCTGACGTAAAGGAGGTGGTTGCTGCTGCCAAACCCACCACGAAGGAGTCACTTTGGAATGTAGTTAAGGAGACATGGTGCGAAATTCCGCTAAAGCGATTTCAGGACTTGGTTAACTCGATGCCAAGATGTTTTGTAGCCATCGTTGCCAATAAAGGTCACGCTACAAAATACTGTGTTAAGAAATTACTAATATTTATTGTAAAATGTTTAAAACAATTGATCTCATAATATTTCCTTATCTTAAACTACACATTAAAGCTGTGGTGCTATTTTTTTTTTTTTGCGTCTTATTTGATTTTTTTTTTTAATTTTTGTTTAATAAATGAATACTATAGATTAAAACTTGTATATTTTGTTTTTTATAAAAATTATAAGCCATTTTACTTTTAAATATGTATTTAAAAGATTATCAAACTATCAAAAATAGTTAAAAATTCTAATATTAACCAATTTTTGGTGGTGGTGCTATTTTATTTTTCGCAGCTGTATATGTTTATTTTTATGTATTGATAGTTATGCATTTAGAGGTTCGAAAACAGCATCATTTTAAATAAATTACATTTTCATCCCATTCCTACAAAAGAGTTTTAAAAGATTTTCCGTTGTTTCTAAATTATAAAATCACATCACTGCCTGTAGGAACATTGATAATTCAGCAGCAAATTATAAATCTCCTATGTGATATCAGCTGTTGTCTGTTTTTTAAATGTATATGACTAATATAAAACATTACCAATGCCATTTGTATATGACCGTTTGTCTTGTAAGGGAGAAGTTCCAACCCATCATGTCCCTAGTTGTACCACACTCAGCTTGTTTCTCCAGGCAGTGATCTTGTTCGTTAAGGTTTGTGTTTCAAAGTTAAAGAGTTAAGAGAGGGTTATAATCACAATTAAAAATAAAAAATAAAAAAAGAAGTCTCTTTGACCTTAGTGGCCTCCTTAGCCGTGTAAAGGCCAATTCATTAAAAAAAAAATGTTGTATAAAAATATTAGAATGTAATACGTGTTGATTTTTAAAAAAATTCAAAAGTTAAATAATTATTAGAGCAATATCTTTTTAATTACAATTTTATTTAATTTAAACCATAAAAACTGTATTTAACCTTTTAAGCAGTGCAAAAAAAGGAAAAAAAAACATAACAGGTTGGTTTTCAGTATTTTCAAAATACCATCTTATCATTGCTATATATTTTAAACTTTAAAAGGTGGCGGGCTGGTATATCACCCCGTTCTGTCTTGGAGTACTGTTTTTAAGTATTTAGTAGCGACTATTGTTTGGTGAAAAACCAGCAGAAAAACAATTTAAAAAGTACAGTACAGTAAAAAACAAAATACAGTAAACACTATGCAGTAAATTTGTATTCCAGTTCTCTAGTGAAAACTGGATACAAAAATGTGTTTAAAAATGATTGCGTAAGAATTAATTCTTCAAAATATCAAAAGAAAACTATCACCTCCACCTTACCCAATCTAATGACCATTACCCCTAATCTGCGCTAGCTCGAACGTATACCACCAATCCCCACAAAAACAGTCTTTTGCAAAAGTTTAGATTCGGTTAAGCATTTTTTAGGTAAATCCATAATTTATTGAAAATGACATGTGTTGTATGTATTTATTGAAATTGACATGTTTGTTTATGTCATTTGTGTAAATCATTTTCAATAAATTATGGGTTCACCTAAAAAATACTTAACTGATTCTAAACTTTTGCAAGAGACTGTACAATAACCCAATCAATGAATTTTTATCATTGTATTTACTCCCCCTAGCTATTTAACTCTTCCCTACAATGAGGTAGGCGAGAATAGATTTTTTTTTAA